GGAAAGAGAATGTTCTCTTTTCCCATACTCGGAACTGCAGAAAGCACTAAGGAACCAAAAAATGTCATGAACTTAGGTGGTGAGGCTTTTGCCTGACTGCCAATACCTTTACAAAATAGTCAGGGATAAGGCAAAATATGGAAGAGTATTCCAGATGACAGAAAAGGGAGAGGAGAAGCAAGACGGGTACAGCAGCTAGCTGTACACATCCAGGTGGAAAACAAAAAGGGTTGAGAAGGGGGTGTTAAAACAGCAAGAGAGGGGAGAGGAATCATGACACAGAGCATGATAGGAAGGTCTCCAAGAGCTGAGAGGTGGGGCTCCTAGGAGGACTGGCTGCAAGGGCTAGAGGTCAAGCCTACCATGGGGGAAGGACAAAGCAAAGAGGAGCAGCAGGAGTGGGATGAGGGTTCCTAGGAGCGGGAAGGGGAGAGCACAGGGCTGAGGAGGAGCATCAGTGAACTGACAAGGACAGTGAAGCCCTCAGTGGGCAACAGCTGTTACTGAGAGGGCTGCTGGGGAAGGGGCAGGACCAGAAACCAATGTCTAATAGGCCGGTCTGGAGGGGAGAAGCCCAGACACCCAGTACTTCTTAGCAACACTGCTAAGGATCTTCCTTCCAGTAAACAATGGAGTAAGTTCCCCATGATTTACTTAGTATAAAAGACCTTAAGAAAGAAGAGAGTAGATGCGGGAGGAGCAAGACCTGGTCAGTTCTCTGGAACTCACCTGCAGGGGCAGCACTTGGACTCCCCTTAGGATGAGCTCCCTGGACATTCAAGCCCCACGGCTCCCTTGCCTCCAACCAGGAGATCAGAGCAGGTTTGGTGAATGGCCCCACTGCAGAAGAGAAGAAAATGGGATGTGAATGGAAGGTAGATGAATCATACAGAACTACCCTACAGGACCCTCTCAGGCCTGAGCTCCTGGTAGGGAGGAGGGAAAGCCAGGGAGGCAGGTGGAGGAAGTTAGGACAGGAGGCCTAGACAGGAATTTCTGATAGCTCTGAGCAGAGACAAGAGAGGCTGAGAGAAACCACAGACAAAAGGATCGCTAGCATTCTCCAGAGCCACATGACAAGTCAACTAGTTAAATCAGCCAACTTTTTTTGGATGCCTAAATGGACTAGGAACTTGACACATATGACTTTTTTTTTTTTTTTTTTTTTT